ACACACACTGGTTCTGTAAGCAGATAGATGTGTGTAAGGTTAGAGCATGCACGACAGTAGAGACACACACAGGTCACACACACTGATTCTGTAAGCAGATAGACATGTGTAAGGTTAGAGCATGCACGACAGTAGAGACACACACAGGTCACACACACTGGTTCTGTAAGCAGATAGATGTGTGTAAGGTTAGAGCATGCACGACAGTAAAGACACACAGGTCAGACACACTGATTCTGTAAGCAGATAGACATGTGTAAGGTTAGAGCATGCACGACAGTAGAGACAGACACAGGTCAGACACACTGGTTCTGTAAGCAGATAGACATGTGTAAGGTTAGAGCATGCACGACAGTAGAGACACACACAGGTCACACACACTGGTTCTGTAAGCAGATAGACATGTGTAAGGTTAGAGCATGCACGACAGTAGAGAGACACACACAGGTCACACACACTGATTCTGTAAGCAGATAGATGTGTGTAAGGTTAGAGCATGCACGACAGTAGAGAGACACACACAGGTCACACACACTGGTTCTGTAAGCAGATAGATGTGTGTAAGGTTAGAGCATGCACGACAGTAGAGACAGACACAGGTCACACACACTGATTCTGTAAGCAGATAGATGTGTGTAAGGTTAGAGCATGCACGACAGTAGAGACACACACAGGTCAGACACACTGATTCTGTAAGCAGATAGACGTGTGTAAGGTTAGAGGATGCACAACAGGAGAGAGATGCACACGCTGCACCTGCACACGCACACGCAGGTCAGATGACACGTGACGGCAGAGAGACACGCGCGTGGGTTAGATGCATGTACGACGGCATAGATACGCACTGGTTCTGTAAGACGCGCATGGGTTAGACCCCGTGCAACAGTAGAGAGAAGCACTGGTTCTGAAAGCACACGCACACGCGCACACATGAAAGGCACGCACGACAGTGCACGCGCGTGTGCACACACACACGTCAGATGCAGAAACAGCGGCAAAGCGACTCGTCTCCCGTCTAACGAGCGTCGACAGCGGCGTTCGCTCGTCCCACGTCCCCGCTACTCCGCCGCAGCGCGTGTAATTAGCAGGATTTCTTTCGCGTCTCCGCTCCTCCCCGGCGACGCGCCCGCGGGAGGGGCCGCCGCGCTACAGCGTGCGCAACTCCTGCGCGAACTCCCGGGGTGGGAGCGCGGCGGCGGCGGAATCTCAATCCATTATTGAAATACGGCGCCGCGGAGTTGCAGCGTAACCGCTCGCGAGTGTAACGCATGGACATCGCGAGCACCTGGCTACGCTAGGCCACGATCGAACGTGGCGGCGGCGCACAGGCAAACACGACACGAGCCACGACCGATTCATCGTTATCTCGTCCACGCTGGGTTTACGCTGTTAGTTCGTCGGCACGCGTCTCAACGATGCATCATAAGCAAGTCCTCGAACTTGTCGATGCCGCAACGACGTCGCACGTTTAAAATACGATTGCATCAAATATAAAATTACGTATAATAAATTACAATCAATTTAAAGCAGATGGAGAAATCGATTAACAAAAGAACAACGGCGGTACTGCCGACGGATGCGACGTTCAGCGGCGCCCCCTACCGTCCAGCTACGAACACTCACCGGTCTGCACTCCTCGCGCGGTGTGTGCCAGCATCCCTGCTTGAGGACCTCGATACCCTTGCTCGTGTTCTTCCACAGCGCGTAGCAGTGTGCGGGCGGGTCGAGACTCTCCTCCTGCGTGCACGCGAGCACGCAGCTGTCGTTGCTGCCGAAGCCGCAGTCGTCGGCCGAGTGCACGCACTCCAGCACGCTCACTGTCGCTCCCACCATGCTCACTGTGTGAGAGAGAGACAGAGATGTGTGAGAGAATCAGTGATAGACGGTACATTCCTGCCAACATAACCTA